CTCAATAAATAGATGTCCCATGTTTCTGATTCAAAGTTACACAAACTGTAAAAACTCTTTTCTTGGCCTACTTGGTAGTTAAACAGCCTGGGAAACAATACTGCAAATCTTATTTACTCCTCTGATTAATGTAGCACTAAACTATTTATGTATAAAATATTAATTTTAACCAAAATAATGTGAAACCTCAAAAATAAAAAAAACCCAGCAGAAATACTATTTTTCATTACATTTAAGGTTGAGTCTAAAATCACTATACAAAAGTCTCTCTCAATCAATTAATTTATGTGTAATAAACTGGGGAAACATTCTTCATTCTTCTTTTTCTTTTTTTGGTGTTGGGAATTGAATCCAGGGCCTCGTAAATGGTAAGCATGAGCACTACTATTTATAACTACACCTCCAGCTTCATTCTTCATTTTTATCCAAGTTGGGCATCAAAATGAATTTCACTGATAGTTCCTCAAATTTAACATGAAGTGAAAACATACAGTTTTGTTTTTTTTAACCGTAAATTAAAAACAAGACAAACAAAAAGACACTGTAACAATGTCAGAGGGCATGGAAATGCCAACAGAGGACTTTTTACAAACACAGCAATACACAAATTCCTGACCAAAGGCACAGCACATTACTGAAACTGTGCCCTATAGCCATACACACCACTGTAACATTAAAACAATGGCTGGAGTCAAAGTAGTCAATTGTTTATCTCCTGTTAATTTGATTAAAATTAAAACATGCACAATTACATATTCTTATATGCACCCTAAAGAAGTTTCCATCTAGTAAGTCTTGAATATACAATACTCGATTTGTTTCAAATGGAAATAGTTCTAATTTGCTTCAAGAAGACCTTTTAATCTGTAAAATTCTACCTCAATATTACTTTTACACCCTACTTAATAAAACACATTTTGCCCTGAAAATATGAGACTCACTAAAGATTCAAAGAGAAAAGACAAAGAAACTTTCAAACTTAGTTTCAAACTATTACTGTCCAGAGTTCAGAGAAAATGAAAAGACATTCCTTTTAGGACTGAAATATTATGCAATTACAGAGCTCAGAAGAGGCAGTATTTATGAAAAGCATTTCTCTCCTGAGCCTCACTGAACAGAATTTTAAAAAATGCTACTTTGCTACCTAACAAAAATGCTAAGAACATTTTAAAAGATGAATGCTTTAAGGCATCCCATAAGTATGTACAATTACATGTCAATTTTTAAAAATGGTGCCAAAAATAAATTCAAAGTTTAACTTAAAAACACATGGAAAAGTTTATAGGAAACAAAAACCTAAGTTCTGCTTCCCCCAGTTCTTATGCTTTCATTTAAATTAAATCCATAATAGGGATCTATTCAGAATGCTTATGATACTATGATTTTGAAAATTCACCCAATTCATAAGATTTTAAGTACTATAATGCATGACTATACACAGCATTTTAAAAGAAAGCGCTATTTCCCTAAGAAGTATCTAGAGAAGTATCACGTGAGTTCTTTACAAGCCCAAAAGATTTTTTAAAATGATTTGGATGACAGAAAACAAAATACTAAGAGGAGTTAAAAGTAAAAGGAGTAACCTTATTTGTCATGATTGTTACATGGGCGGTTAGGAGAAATTTTTGTTTTATTTAGTTTGGCAGTCCTGAGGTTTGAACTCAGGGCTCGGTGCTCGTGAGGCGGGTGCTCTACCATTTCAGCTATGCCTCCAGCTAAAAATCCAATCTTGTAACTTAATCTGTACTTTTGGAGGCCTCTTTCATAAAAGTTACAATAAAACAAGTTTCATTTGGAAGAAGGTACAAAAATCACTCAGTATTTAGTAAGAAAATACCATCTTCTTAAAAAGACATACCTGATAATTATTTAAGAAAATAAAGGGTACAAGTTTAATATTTCCTTATCCTCTAAGTGACACAAGTGTTGCATGTATCTAATTGCATCAACTTACTCAAAATTTTATCTCAGTAAGGTGACTTCAACATTTTCTTTCATTAACCAAGTTTACCAGTGACATTATGGATACCTGAAAAGTTACATAACTCTCAAAAGTGTGTTTGTCTGAGTGACAGAATTACAAAGATTAAAAAAATACACCTTAAATTAGGTATTATCACCTTCAACAAAGTGTGCCACCATCAGTAAATCCCTTCCCACCCCAGTACTCAATAAAAGCCTATTCTCTCCTCATGGGGGAGAATAATAGAGGAGGTAAATCTAAGATACACGGTAAGCACATATACAAGTATCACAATTCATCCCCCTGCACATTATCTCCTAATAAAAATTATAAGCAATAAAATCAAACAGCTTCAAGATACTTCAGTACATGGGAGAGTAATGAGTGCAAAATAAAACAGATCTCCAATCAGGCTTAAAATGTGTAGTTACTAAGTCAAAAAGTATTCCAGTAAAATAGTGTCATGGAAGCAACAAAATTCTTTTTTGTAAGTATTAAAATCTTAATCGATAATTCAGTTACAGTTAAATGTGTATGTTCTAATTATACAAGGCAAAATTTGGAACTCATTTTATACAGTTTTATGCTTCCAAGAATGAAAACCACAAAGAAACAATCTTGGGCTTGTAAAATGTTGTCCTGTGTGTCAGCTTATTGTTCAGAAGAAAATGCTGTCTGGATAGGACAGTGGCTCAAACACAAGAAGGAATAAACACATTCCAGGTTTGTATTTTGGCCTCTTTTCCAATTTCCTCTTTATCCCCCCTACAACAGACACACATACATACAACTTTTTCACCAAGTAAAAGCAAGTTTTAGTTGAAAACAAACATAGACATTACTCATGTGTGCCATTTTGCATAAAATACTGTTGAGTAAAGGCTAAAAATGAATTTTAAAGTAATCATTCCACACCAGTTTAATAACCAAATGACCCAATTTCAGTTTGGCTACCTGAAAATTAGTAATCTATCCATGCTGACAGGTCTGTAACACTCAAAACCTCTTTATTGTATTGCACCTATCATCTACACCCACATACACCACACAAGCACACACGACACACCACCTTCCCACTCTTCACAGGGCTCTACATTAACATTTGCTCTAGTGTGGTGAGATTTTAAAATATTAAAGATCACAAGCATTTTCAGATGACCTTTCTGCCTTCACGCTCAATGCATAAGCTTGGGATTAAGAATACAGTGTTTTCAATACCCCGTGCCATTTTAAGTTAAAACTTATCCATGAAGTTAAATGTAATAGTTTGAGAAGAAAATAACAAGTACGATTTTCCTAGAAGTGAAGAATTTGAATGAACCATTTCATGCCTCCAAATCAAGACCAATAAATTGTCAATTTACTAAGTGTCAATGTATCAATACAAGCTTTACTGAGGCTATCAAATATTATGCAATATAACACAAATTACTTTCTGTTTATATTTATTAACACCACAGTCAAACGTGAATATTAATATAGAGCCTTCTCTGCCAAAAGAATATAAAAATCCTAAATTTAATTAAATTTAGGGGCCTTCACCAAACTTGCTGCAAGTTTGGGGACATAAATATCCAACAGCCATAAAGCTGTGAAAGCCCCTATAAGGAATAAAATAAATCCCACTTGCCTCAGACTGAACAGGGCAACACTGAGACTCAGCCTCAGCCTGTCCTATGGCAGGGCTATAGGAAGAAAAAAATTTTAATTTTAGAAAAACATTACCGAATTAATTAAAAAGACATGCATTAAAAAAATGTTTAAAAATCCCAATGATCAAGCAAAGCAAAGGAAAAAGAGCAGCTCTTTTTGTCTACCACAATTACATTCTGAGACCATACACATTTTTGTTGGGAACATCCCCTCTTAAATAAGTTTAATTAAACCAACTTTTAATTCAATATGTAACTTGATCAGTGGAATACATATTCTCCCCAAACCTAATGGCCTATGTGTGAGATTACTAAAATACTAAGTATTCAAATCATATGATTACACAGCAGCCACTCAAAAACTGACCCTCATTTGCTGTTCTCATTACTATGATCGATAGTAAAACTTACAAATAGAAACTAGTGCCAGACAAAATGTTGAAGCTGTTTTGTTTTGCAAAAAAGGATGATGTAAGAGTGGACAAAGTTCCCAGCCCTACTAATCTTACCACCTCCTTAATGATGGTAACCACAGTGCCCATCTAAACATACCACATTCCAAAAGTAGACCTCTATGAGGACACTTGAAACCCACTTTGACTCAACTTGACCTGTTAAAAAGGGTAAGTCAAAGTAAGAGTTTTTTACATAATTTGTTCCACTCATGTTTCAACCATACTATGGACCCCAGAAGCAGTTAGGTAAGAAGTATATTCTAGAAGCTTAATTATACTTGGATGCATGCAAAAATTTATGCTAAATGGGCACCACCTGAGCCACAGAGCTACAAAGGAGAAACCATAAGCTTTAAGTTTTTTGAGTGCCACGCATAAAACTTTCAATAAATCTTAAATTTGAATCTTACCATTTATTAAAAAAATTGGTATTTTCTCACTTCAAAGAGCAAAAAACCTTGTTATACAAGATTGGTGCTCTTTACCTAAAATGTAAACAATGCTTTACATAATTTCTGAAACACATCTACTAACAAATTTAGTTTGTTGGTAAGCCGATACCTGAAATTCTTGAGAAATGTGGTTTGGGGGAGCATTTCATATTTAATAATTCTAAATTTAATCATGCTATTTTTACCTTAGTATTTTTAATGCAGATTTTTCTTTGGCAGTATGAAAAATATGCTGCCATAACTAAGAAGTACATACATATTCCAAAACTACTTAGACAGGCAGGCATTCTTGTGTGAAGAGGTATGGGACACTTGGTTGCTGGCAGAAAATAATGTATTCTTGGTAACATGGATTTTTTTTGTTCCAAACCATGGAATTTTTTTGTACCTCAATGGTACCAAAGCAGAGCAGGCATTAAAATCAGTGAAGGGGTGGGGAAGCAAAAAAAAAAAAAAAAAAAAAATCAGTGATGCAAAATACCAAATTTAAAATAGCTTTCAGCTCTTAAAATATTTCCAACATTTCATTTAAGTGACTTTTACCCATCACGTAAATACATTCTTCTGTAACGAGTAAAACATTTTTCAATGCATTTTCCTACAAAATTAAAAGCCTTTTCCCTTATAATTTCAGATTTCATGCCTTTTATATCAATTAAAGAAATGTCACCATTTTCTTAAAAACCTTAACATTATTTAGAAAAACTCAATTTGAGTTCATTATATTGGCAATTACGTTGTATAGATCCTGTGACATTTAAATAATCCTAAAACTACCGTGGCAAAAGATCAGAAAAATGTCCAAAAAGTCAATGAAACCTACTAGTGTAAAAGACTTGCAACACAAAATACTAACAGCTATTATTTCCTACAGTTGTCTGTAAGAATACAGTAATATTCAAAATTTCCAAGATGAAAATTGTAGCAGTAAAACTATCTAGGTTTAATAATAGAAGATAACTATCTAATCAAATGAGTAATATAACCTTCCAGGAATCTAATAAAATTAAAAATTACCAATCCTGTTACCCATCAAACCATCCATTTAAGAGGCACATACACCAACCCATTAAAAGCATGAAAAACTATTACTGCATGCACCTAAGCTTCTAGACATTAGCACCTGAAAAGATTCTGAGGTCCATGCAGTACTGATTTCTCTTAAAATATAATCAGAAGGAAGTAACTGGGTCTGGCACTAGGCTCTAAACATCTCAGCAGGAAGGATGAAGTATTAGGGTTCACATTTTTAAATACCTATGACATCTGATGACAGCAAAGGATGTGGAAAGGTGACACACTATAAAGATTTATACCCATTATGTAATGATTCATATGCATCTCGTTTTTTGTTAACTGAAGCATTAACATATAATTCTATATATACCACTGCTTAAAACATGCAGCTAAGAAACAATCTACAACTCAAAAACAGAATCCAATGATATATCAAAATTGCATTGGTAACTATAAATTTTATTATGTGGACATCTACTGTGGCATGCATCTGTACAAACCTTTCAGGCAGTGGTCCACAGCTCAGTTATCAATAAAAAGGCATAAATTTTTCTCTCATTTTATTACAATGAAGTTTAACAGTACAGAAAAGTCACATGACCGTGGTGGGTCAGATTTCTTAAACCCTGCAACACGAGGAATTCTAAATACATTAAATATTGTTACACATTCAGACTTCCAACGTACAGGTACTTGGAAACAGTTACAGCCCTCACCAAGCTAGGTTGGGGACATGAAGTCCAACAGCATCTGAAATGCTGTGAAGGCATAACTTTACAAATAGCAATGTAAGCTTACAGAACTTGCCTTTATTAAGGTGGTATGTTCATGTAATTCCAGCGCCTTCACAATTTAACGAACCAAATTTACTATACTTCACTTCTAAAAACCTAGATGAAACATGAAAAAGAAGCCATACAGTATAAATTGCAACTTCAGGAAAAGTTCCTGCTTTATTATTCCAAATAATTTTTCCCATGTAAAATAAATGTCCAATAGTTCCTGGTATGTGGGAAGATAATGTTTGTTAAAGTCACAATGAAGCCTTATTGACGGAAGCTTGGCTATATAAACAGCACAAGTTGAGAAAAGGTTTAATCTCCAAACCTATTAGACTGGATGAAGTAAGATCAGTAACGGCCACCTTGCGACATTACAGGAGGTCTCATTCCCATTGGAGGTCGAGGAGGCCCACCTTGGTAAGGTGGCACCATCGGCGGTCCCTGCCCATATGGTGGCATAGCACCAGGAAGATAACCTGGCATGCCTTGATGATGACCACCATACTGACCTAAAAAACACATTTAAAACACAAAAAATGGATTAAGTTGGTCTATGCCTACACTTATTTGAAGCACAATGTCTACTGCAGATATACTTAATAATATTAACTATACTCAGAAAATCCAGTAAGACAGAAAGCAAAAAACAGTAATTCATGCATGGTACTTTTAAATCAATGTATTTAACAATACATATGTAGACACAATATTTAACATTATGTATGAATGCAGAGTAAATATGATAAACAAAAAAAAAGAGTAATACCATGAGGTGGCATTGGGGGTCTCATTCCTTGCTGCTGTGGGATGCCTGGCTGCGGCGGCATCATACCCCCAATTGGTCCAACTGGTGGATTACCGATTGGGGCTTGTCCTGGTCGAGGAAGATTGCGTTGGTATTTAGGTAACTGTGCCCGTCTCTCTTCCTAAAAATAAAATAAATACAACATTAAATACATAAGGCGGAGGGGCTCATTAAGCATAAAGTAAAGCATCTAAAATACTTATTTTAAAATTTACACTTACTTAACAGATTACTTCTGTTCTCACACATCAGTCCAATTACTTAAAATCTCCATGTCTGAAAACGACCTCACCTATTTTTATACTTCAATGGGGGCAAGCAACTTTATAGGAATTATATGCTGTGGGAAGACGACCTATGTTTGGAGCCAGGGTCTAAATAGCAAGCTCTGTCTTATAAGCAAATAAAGAATTATTTAAGTATTGTTATCAAAATTCTAAGTATTTATTTTTTAATAAAATAAATTCCTTTATATGGGCTTCAAGAAGTCTTCAGCCTCTATTATTATACTCAACTGTTTTCTCAATAAGTACACAGAAAATCATGTCTAGCTAAACTGATTTTTAATGAAGAAACCAACTTACAATCTCATTTCAGAAATAGGCCAAAGGGGAGCATCTAAGACCAAAACATGCAATATTCATTCATCATGCTAGTTATTATTTTATCATCTCTTTAAAAAAATCAGCTGGGCGCCAGTGGCTATGCCTGTAGTCCTAGTGACTCAGGAGGCAGAAATAAGAAGGATGGTAGTTCAAAAGAAACGTGGACAAATAGTTCCACAAGACCCTATCTCAAAAAAAAGGCTGGCAGAACGGCTGAAGGTATAGGTCTTGAGTTCAAGCCCCAGTACCGCAAAAAAAGGAAAAAAAAAAAATCAGAATAGTAGACCACTTGGGAAGCATTACATCAGATGATAAAAACACCCAAGTACAAATTAACACCTTTAAAACAGATAGGCTGCTAAAATGGTTTTTGATCAAATGCTGCAAGCACAAAAATGTAGATTACTTACCAGTGATATATCCTCATCTGGATGGATCAACTTACTGGTTGCACTGGTGGTTGTAAGTGTAGCAGGCTTACTTGTTATTGAAGCTGCTGGTTTTGCTGCAGTACTATTTGTTGTACTAGTGGTTGAAGCTGTAGACTGTGTATAAGCTGGGAATGTAGGCTTTGGGGGTTCTGTAGTTGTTGCAGGAGTACTATTTAAGGGCTTGAAATCTGTACCAACAGGTCCTTGGACAGCTGCCTGAGCCTATAAAAACATAAACCCTCATCAATGAAACTTGAAAACACCAAGTTGAGTTTATCTATCAGCAGACTAACTTAAAAACAAACCAACATGAAATAAGGGACCAAACTTCAAATGAAACAAAAAGTTAACAGGATAAACAGACAAAAAATTAAAGAAAAACCGTAAAAATATCAAAAGATGCTTGTTTGAAGTCACATCACAGCAATGGAAACAAGAAAACCGTGTATGTAACTTCTCAAATGTCTTCACCTCCTCACCAAATGCTTAATTTAAAATTCTGAAATACAGAAACCAGAATACCTAATGTTATCTACTGTCTTGAATTATTTAAAGTAATCTTTAAAGCAACTTAAAAAAAAAAAAAAAAAAAAAAAAGCTAAGCTAAAAATTACAGAATAGCAGAGTTTTAAAAAACTCCAGCTTCTAACTATAACATAATACTGTCCAAATCAGTAATGGCTGGAAGACTGTCTTGGTCAAAGGATTAATTCAGAAGACTCTTTTAATTAAAAAAAAAAAGTTACTAGTAACAAATGAGTTACATTTGAGCTTTGTCCCCACCCCAAATAAAACACTTTTCATAAATCTAAAACACCAAAAATTTCAACTTTAGAACCAAATGCAGAGTGCTAAAATTTCCTTATATAGGATACGATGTATTAAATAGCATAATTCAAAATAGCTTGACCATGCATCAGGCTAACCACTGGCAGCTATAATGCATTTACTGCTCACATGCTTTTAACCCTTTAGAACCATAAGTAGTTTGGGGGTAATTTGGGGTTTTGTGGTTTTTAGTATGAATTCAGATTTTTCAAATACCATTTTGTTTTTGATTAATACTATTAATTTTATCTTTAAAAACTAAACAAAATACATCTTTTTTAGAAAAAATTTGGTTTTTATGTAGGGTCCAAAGGGTTAAGTTATAAAGCCATTTTAACAATTTTAAACTGCAACTTCCTGCGTACTTGTGCTGTGCTAGGAAACAGAGCTTTAGAAGATGCAGACAGACTTTCTGAATTTGATGAAGCTGTACTTGAGCTTGTTACAGGTGTCCCCATCTGTAGCATAAAAGAAAGGAAACAATGAAAAGTCTCCAAACAAATGGGTAAAAATAAGCCATGTGGCAGACTTTAGTACAGACTGCATTTTTGTAAATGCAAATTTTAATGCAATCAAATGTCAGTTAGAGGCAGTTAATGCATTTACATTAAATATTAAAGTATAAGCCTCAAAAAAACCGTTTTTAAAATTTTATACCAATAAACCTAGTTAGCCATAGTTTTTTTTTCTAAAACTAATAAGCTTTGTATTGTATTTCATGAATGATACCTTAACTTTAGAGTAAGAATTCACTGATATTAACAGTTTAATTCCATTATCAATGACTCTCCAGAATAGTTTTGCCAAGTTTAACAGCTCTCAATAAACAAAATTCCCACCCACCACAAAAGTAGAAGTATGCATGCTAAGGCATATTAAAAAGTCGTATTTTCAATTCAGCAACCACAAACAGGAATACTGACAAAAGAAAACATCTATGGAATATTCTAAAAAAATTTTGATTTTCTTAAATACATTTAATTAATTCTAAATGAATCTGAAAAGAACAAAGTTTTCAGTCATTATGTGGTACACTCTATGTAACAGAAGCATGTTTCAATCATGTTTTGGAAAAAGCTTTCAAAGTTCTGAAGGAAAACAAGATCACTAGGAGGATAATTTTGACTGGGTCAAAGGCCATTAAATGATGCCCTTCCAATGAAAGCACAGCATAATTTATCATGGTTCTCAACTAGAGAAGCACACAACAAAAAGTTTTGCTAGTCTTAAGGATTTTCATGTTTGGCTTTGGACTCACTCCATTCATCATGCAGAAGGGAAAGGAGGACCTCTAAACATTATGTATTTAAGTCCCTAGAACTTCAATTTTCACTTCTGGTTACACCACAGATATGAAAAAAGTTAACATGCTTGAGTCCATTTCATCTTTTATGAATACAGGAATCCAAAATGTGTAAACATGGAAAAGGGCACGACAGTGTATTTTATTGTGCACTCCTTTTTCAGGAATTTCAACTTACCTGTCCAGCACTGGGGAAAAGAGGTTTAGTAACTGGAGGCTGTGGAGCAGGTACTGTTGCTGTTGGTGCAGGTGGTCTATTAAGAATACCTGGTGCTGAAACAGCCTGTGCTTGAGTCATTGGAGGAATTCCAGGACGTGGAACAGGTGGGGGCATACCTGCAGCAAAAATATTGGGGGAACTCAGTCAATAAAACACTTAGTTCAGAAAAAAATGATTCTACACAACAAAGTTACTAGTGACTGACTCACTGATGAACAATTCTAAAGTCCAAAGAACTTAGGCATTTCCCCTTGCAATAATCATGCCTCAAACTTTCCGTTCCTTTTTATCACTTCAGAATTTGACAAGGTGGAAAATATCATTAAGCCCCATATATGTGCAAAACAATAATTAAGCTTACTGACACTATTAATTTAGCAAATGTCTTCAGAACTGTAAGAATTACTTCGTTCAGCAAACAAATCCTTTAAATATTCACTGGCTGCTAATTCAATGAAAATAAAAACATTAATAAAATCATACAATAACATGACCCATTTCCCCAGTCATTCCTTTGAACACTTGAAAAAAACTTTCCTAAAAACCACTACTAGAGTATTCTTTAAACTTCCTTAACTTTTACTTTCTCTTACCAAATGAACACAATTATTCTGTATTCTTTTAAATGCCCACACATATCCCAGAGCATAACATGTATGGAGTTATTTTCTATAAATTATTGGCTGCTCTGGCACGATTCAAATTTTGCTGCTACTTTATTATTCCTAGGTCCTTTTACACTAACTATGGTAAATCCTTCTAAATATGTCAGGGTTTGCAAACCAAATGTTCTTGAATAAAAAGCAAGCCAATCAGGCTAGGAACCAGTGCCTCGTGCCTATAACCTTAGCTGCTTGGGAGGCTGAGATCAGAAATGTGGTTTGAGGCCAGCCTGGGGAAACATTTCATGAGATTCCATCTTCAAAGTAACCAGAGAAAAATAGACTGGAGATATGGCTGAAGGATTAGAGTCCCTGCTTTGTAAGGAGAGAGCCTTAAATTAATCCTAGTCCCACCAAAAAAAAAAAAAAAAAAAAAAAAAAAGGAGAGAGAAAAGAAAAAGCAAGACAATCAACTGAGAGCTTCAGGTGGCACATTTACATAGCAAACCAAATCCCTTTCCCTATAAAGTGTTCTCCCCTTCTTTGTTAGCTTAACAAGTCAATATGCTTATTTCCTAGGTTCTCTCACAGAAATCTATTTCCAGGGCTACAAAGCTTCTGGAAAAGTTCTTTACTTTCTAATAAAAGAAAAAGGATAATACATTGCTGCTGACCTCCTCTAAGTCATAACCATGAGTGCTATTTCTGAGGGAGAAAAGCTGCAAAGGCTAACCAAATGAAATATTAAAAAACAATAGATTTTTGACTGCCCTAAGTCACAGATTCTACCATTTTTTGTTGAATGAGAGAATACTTACATTATTTACTATTTTGTTATCACTTTGTCTAAAAAATTCCTAACAAATACTACATTCTTAGGTACATGAATTTCAGTGCATAACCTGTGACTTTTTTTGTTTTCTTCACATTATTTTTACTATTTGGGTTTTTTTTTTTAGCAGCACTGGGGTTTGAACGCAGGGCCTCATGATTACTCTTACTGCTTGAGCCACTCCTCCCCCAGCCCATATAGTTTCTTTTCACAGTATCACACTTTATAAAAATTCTGCAGGGAGCTGGTGACTCACGCCTGTAATCCTAACAACTCAGGAGGCAGAGATCAGGAGGATAGCAGTTCAAAGCCAGCCTGGGCAAATAGTTCCGTAAGACCCTATCTCAAAAAAAACCCTTCATAGAAAAGGGCTGGTGGAGTGGCTCAAGGTGTAGGCCCTGAGTTCAAACTCCAGTACTGGAAAAAAAAAAAAAAAAAAAAAAAGGGCATTACAACATTCCTCACGTAATTTTAGAAGGAATTTTCCAACCTATGGAAAGCTGAAAATTACATTGCACCCCTACTTATAAACTACTTTTTAAAAAACTTAGGAATAAAGCCCTATTAGGAAGAACTCCTATTAAGAGAAAAATTGTTTTAACACATCATACCTGGTGGCATACCAGGCATCAGAGGTGGTATTCCAGGTCCAGGTGGCATCATTCCACCCATTGGCATCATTCTATTAGAAAGCAAATTTCAAGAAACTAATGTTAATTAACAGTATAAACCATGAGAAAATATTTTGGCTACATTCTGAAACAACACCAGATAAAATTCTTTAATTTGACCTCAATACTGAAATTGGTTAAGCTAAAAGAAACAAGCATATACTACAGTAATTCTACCAAAATAAATACTCTGAATACCAGAAAACTCTTTGGTCTACCAGTAAAGGGGAGGGAGGAACCAGTCTTTCTTGAAAAAACAGTCACTGAGAACAACTACTACTCTCTTTAATATGTGTAAGAGGTCTAATATAGGTAAACTTGAAAAATATCAACACAGATCATAACTAAAATTTTTTTTTCTAGTTGAGATTTTTCAGAAGAAAATATTCAATGTATATTGTGGAGTAATAATTTTTGTTGGGGAGGAACAAGGACTACCACCAAAATTAGTCAAAAATAAACCTAAAATAGCTATCGAAACCTAAACCATGACTTAAAAATATAGCCCATGTTTATTTTCTTTACCCTAAAAAAAGCTCACCTTCAAATATCAGTGTCCAATTCACTGTGAAAGTCTGTCAGCTTGATTTAGAACATTTTTTGTTGCTTTTCTGTATTTTTTGGTTTTGTCGGGGGATTGAACTGATGGTCTTGTGCATGTTAAGCATGTACTCTACTGCCTCGCCCCACAATTTGGGATTTTTAAAATCAGAAGTGCAACTCCTATATATAGATTCTAACTAGAAAAAAATTCAATTACATTCCATAATAAGGCACAGTGTAATCTAGCAAAAGAATATATACTTTTTAAAAAATTAAACACTACCTCTTAAAACGTCTCATTTTCAGTAGTTTGGGGAAAGAATTTGCACATTTAGAAAATGCTTTATTTAATGAGTCTATTTCCTCACTATGTTTTAAATCCCTCTTTTAAGAGAACTGTGCAAGCTTGCAAATTTTAGAAGTTTTAGTGAGGAAGGTTAGAAAATTTCTGAAGCCAACTGAATAGTTATCATCAAACACACACAAAAAATGACATTATGATTATACCTCCTGAATTACATTATGAATGAGATGCTTACATGTTTTCACCGCAAAATGACTGGGTGTATTTTCTCTGATGATGCAATCTGTGAAAATGTATGACAAAATCAAAATCTAACTGTGATTTTCAAAATACAGTGGGAAAGTGTACTGTATACCTCTCATATCCAACAATATTTAAGTAGAAGTGATGGGCACCTCAGATTCAGTTTAGTTTTTGATGCTTCAATAAATCATTAACAGAGTTTGGTTCTTTTCAAAACTACAAAGTGTGATGCATATTTCCGAATCTCAGAAATTCAAATCTACAATCAACTACTTCAATTACAGCAAATGCAATTGAAGCAGATGGTTGCCTACATACATTCTAAAACCCAAAATCTATTCTCAGTGGCAAATTTATACTTTAAATTTTTTGACTGACCCCTTAACCAAGAAAAACTTAAGACTATAAGGCCCATACCTTCCAGAAGCAAAAAAATGCAGCGTAACATTTAATTCATGTAATACCCATGTTGAAAAAAAGATCATTGCTAGGCACAAGCCCACAAACCAATTAAAAGTTTTCTTACCCAGGTGGCATTCCTGGCATAACGGGGGGCATTCCTGGCATCAGAGGAGGAACACCTGGCATTAATGGAGGTATGCCTACAAATAAGAATTTCAATTAAAAAATTACAATTATAAGTTAAAGCATTAAGTGGAAGAAAGTAATACTTTTGGGGGGGCGGGGAAATCCAGTACTGGGTATTGCCAGTCCAGTGCTTTATCACTTGAGCCATACCCCCAAGTCCAGAAAGTAATAGTTTAGCTCCCTATCAATAAATTCCTCAATATTAAATTTTCAGAAACCTCATGTGCTACCTGGAGGCATTCCTGGTGCTCCTGGGACTGGTGGTAGTCCTGGTTGCACCATTGGTGGGATATAACCTTGTTGAGGTTGAACTGGCTGTGGCTGAAATGAAGTTGAGGCTGCAGAGTCATCATCATCATATTCATCAGAATCATCTTGTTGCTTCTTTTTTTGACTCTCTGCCAAAAAAATTTTTTATGGAGGGGGTATGAAACCTAAACAACTTTAGATATTCAATAAGTACAATATTTGATTAATACTCTTCTTCAAATGTTCCGTCACTCTATATTAAACAAGGTTAACATTCTTTCCCTATCCTATAAAAGTAACAAATGATTTAAACAATAGCTGTTTCACCACAAAAGGTTAAGCTGCGACAAACACATTTTACCTCTGTAAAGCTTTACAAAATAAAAAAATCTGTAGATGGCGAACAGTTTCTACCATTTGTACTGTGCATGGCCTCAAATTCCAAGTCAAACACCACCACTAAATAATTAACAGAACTCAAAATATGAGTCAAGCATGGTACTTCACAACTGTAATCTCAGTTACTCAGGAAACAGTAAGATGATCTTGACTTGGAGGTCAGCCTGGGCAGCACAGTAAGATCCCCTTAAAAAAACTAACAACAACAACAAAATCAGGTGTAGTGGCACACATCTATTAATCCCAGCACTCAAAAGCTCAGGCCAGAGAATTCATAGCTCCAAGGGCATAATGGGCTACATACCAAGAGCCTGTCTCAACAAAATATCAAATTGGGGGTGGGAGGAATTCTGAATAAATTTATTATCTACAATTAAATTTATGCTTAAAAGTAGTAGTACTCTCACAACTGTGAAGCCCTATTTTTAAAAAATAATACATCTGAAAATATTACCTTGTGTTTTCTGTTCAAGAAGTCGCCGCCTTTCATCCATGTCTTTTTCTGGAATACCTTCCATACCATATATTTCCAACTCTATGTCTGTTCTTCCAGGTATTGCATTTGGTACAGCATCTATTGTCTCTTTATGTACCTAATATTTAGAAAACAAACTCTCATTAGATGTATAAGATGACCTCCAAGCCTGAGTTCACTCCACCTATACAGTAACTAATTCAAGGCTTGTTTTTAGCATTAAATAAAGTAGTATATTTGGACTAGTGGTGTGGCTCAAGCAGTAGAGCACCTGAACTAAAGTGGTAGAGCACCTGCTTCATAAGCACAAAGCCCTGAGTCAAACCCCAGTCCCACCAAGGCTGGGGGAGGGGGGGGACAGGACGGGACGGGATGGGACAGGCACTCTTATGGCTTGAGCCACTCCACCCACCCTCCTTTTTTTTGATGGTCTTTTTTCAAGACAGGGTCTGCATAACTATCTGCTTGGGGCTTGGTTTCAAAACATGATCCTCCTGGTACCTGCCTCCTGAATAGGTAGGATTACAGGCATGAGCCACCCCAGGTTATCATTTAATTTTAACTGCCTGAATTAAATACAATAAACAAGTAGTTCTACCCAAATCGAAGACATTCCAAGACTGAATTCAGATTTTGAGACTTGACAATGGTAGGGGTCAAACCCAGGCCCTAATACAATAACACAAGCTAGGCAAGTGTTCTATCCCTGAGCTATACCCTCAGCGTAAACATAACCTTGTATTAAGACAAATTAGGGAGAAGAAAAAATAAAGGAGCAAGAATATAGCTCAGCGGTAGAGCACTTGCCCAGCCTATGTGATGTTTTGAATCCAACGCCCAGCATTTTGGGGGTAGCTTCCTAAGAAAAGATCTTTGAGACAAGCCTGTACATACAAAGAAAATTACATTTAGCTGGACACTGGTGGCTAATGCCTGTAATCCTAGCTTCAGCTAATCGGAGGCAGAGATCAGGAGAATCGCAGTTCGAAGCCAGCTCCAGGCAAATAATTCAAGACCCTATCTTAAAAAACCCAATACAAGAGCGGCTCACTTGATAGAGCACCGGTCTAGAAAGTGTGCGTGGAATTCAAACCCCAGTGCCACACATGCAAAAAGTTACATTTTTATAATTAACATCACCTGTAACTGATGCTTAACGTTTCCATTGTAATGATTAATGCCACTATTTCTGAATCTATTAGGTGACAACTGAAGGAGATTTTTAAGATGTTTGCTGTAAAATACTAGAAATTTAGGACATTTTTTTCTCACTGTATACTTTTGCCAGATTAAATGTTTTTAACTCTTAAACTTGGCTATCTTTGGCTCATATTGTAATATCACACGCACGTGTATGTGTGTGATATATATATATATATATACATACATGCATATACATACGTGTATGTATAATTGAAACCTCTCACTATCCAATCATCAAATGACTCATGAAACCCAGATAATATTAAATGAAATAAACTGCCAAGCCAGATGCAGAGTAGGGTGTGCCTATAATCCCAATTACTCCAGAGACTGAGGCAGGAAGACTGAATTCAAGGCCATCCTGGACTTCAGTGAGACTCTTCTCAAATAGAAATATTATACCAACAAAGAAATACAGTATCATTTCAAAAAGGTCTATGGGAATAAGCCTAACCACAAGAGACAGACTGTAACAAATAAATCTTGCAATGGCAGCAAGCAATGGCAGGGATGTGCGTGTGTATGTATATACAAATACATATACATATATTTTTAGTAAAATTTATCACAATAGACACTTCCTTCACCAGCAAAAAAAAAAAAAAAAAAAAGCTGGTGGAGTGGCTCGAAGTGTAGGCCCTGAGTTAAAGCCCAGAACTGCAACACACACACACACACACACACACACACACGGGGGGGGCCCCCCCCCGCACTGGCAGAGTTGCTTAAGACATACACCATGTGCTTAGCAAGTCTGATGCCCTGAGTCCAAACCCCAGTCCCACCAAAATTAAATTAAATTAACAAAAACAAACTTCATAAACACCAAAAGTGAATATATCTTCTTGTAGCTATAGAACAGATTCGGGGGGCTGGTATGTAGCTCAATAATAGAGCTTGTGCTTAGCATATTTGAGGCCCTACATTCCATTCCCAGCACTGGTACAGAGACAGAGAGACATAGTTACCTTGGTTATGTCCACAGCCCTTTTTGCTTTTAGTTTGTGTAAGAGGGTCTCATGCTTTTTGCCTACAGCAGGGCAAATGCAATACTCCCTCCTGCCTAGCGGAATTTACAGAATGCTCCATCACGCCCAACTGTCTTTGAGATAGGGTGTCACTTTTCGGGGGGCTGGCCTCAACCGTGGACCCTCCCATCTCCATTTCCTGACAGTTCTGAGTTTCTTAAGCAGACTGACTATCTTATCTACTACAATAAATTACAAAAAAAGGCAAAGACTAGATTATTCATGTTGTTATCAAATGACAAGGGTACAAAAGTAAACAGAAAAATCCTTACCTGCATACAATGAATAGCCAAGCCTGGTCTGTGTATAATTTCTTATGACATATATGGCATTTAAAATGCTTTGCTTTTTGGTGCTGTATGAGAATTTTTTCATCATCAAAATCTCTATTACAATACCTGATCAATATTGTTAAGGTACAAACGCACAGTAACTGATGGTGTGTGTTGTGTTGCCTGTCTACAGACAGTAACGGGTGGGAGCTGAAGCAGGAAGCTGTTTGAGCTCAGGAATTCTAAGAGAATGTGGGATTAACATTAAGACATGGAACTTTTACCTAAATCCGTTTTTTGATAATTACGCTGATAAGGTTGCATTTGACATGTAATTTCCTAGAACCCATTTCTCTTCACATCCTCCCCCCAGTAAACGCAATACTTTGTGAAATTTTGTTTGGCAAAAATGTTGGGTGAAATTGCTTTTGTTCAGTACATTTCAAGTGCGCAGGGAAAGGTTGCATGATAACTCTGTATGAAAATTAACTGAAATTTCAAGACAGAATTAGATAAAATATTCGAAGTATTACAAATTCACCACGTGGATTAACTTTGGCAAATAACACCCACACACCATTTTCACGCTTAACAATCCACAAATTTGTTTACAATTTCTTATTAGTTTTTGTCATCAGGGGACGCAAACTCACAGGTGGTTAAATCTACAATACTGAGAACTAGTCCATTACTCAGACTTTCCCATAAGTAGGTATCAAAAGACGTGGCCAATTTTGCTACTTATAACAAAAACGCAGCTCTACGGCTAATCGTTCTTAGATACTAGACCGTAATAAAATCAGTTTTCACGTCAAGTATGTTAACGCTTTTGGGAAAAGTATTAAAAGGACGCCACGTTTTAGTAAGCTTTCCTTTCTAGTAAGTTTTTTTTTTTTCCCCAAGTCCTGCCAGGTTGGGCAACAGAAAGGAGAAACTGCACGCACTAAGAGAACGCTTCCTGAAGATTAAGGCGCCCGGGTGAGACAGGAAGCCAAGTCTCCGTCACCCACCCCCGGCGGTGGGGAAGGAAAGGGAATGGAAACGGTTCAAGCCGGCTTAATTTAACTACAGCACCTAGTCTTTAATTTTAAAAAAAGGAAAAAGTGAGTGGCTGACGCTGCAAGCTATTCCCCAATCCTCCACGCAGGCAATTAGCTATTACACTAGCAAAAGTCCCTCTGTTGGAGCGTCACCAAACAACGGCAAGCAGGAGAGTCTTAAGGGACTCTGCCCTTGGTGGAGGGGTCCAGGCCGCCTCCTAGTAGGCACCAAACGAGGTCCTCAGAGTCACGAGTCACTCCCAATTCACATAGCCTCTCGCCCCTAGAAAGCCCATTTTCCGAGAGCCTTCCGAGTCCCAGCCAGCCACAGGAACGCCACACCGAGGCCTACAGCCGAAGCCGCCCCCATCCCCGCCCATAGGCCCAATCCAGGCCTCCCAGTACCAGTCTTCATCAACCGGCAACACCAGCTCGGCCTCGACTTCCAGTCCACAAAGGATACAGCACCACGGGCTTCAGCTGCTTCTTCTTTTTGCGACCCATGACTGCGCTCTACCGACAAAGTAAAAAGGAGGAGAAAAAGAAGGAAAAAAGCGAGGAGAAAAATCGCGCTTTCGACCCAACGGCCACCGCGTCCGGAAGCCGACAAAATGGCACAGGCTCGTTCGCTCTCCGCCTCCCGTAGACACTGCGGTGGAGGCGGGCCAGACAGGGAGGATCACATGACGCAGACCTCCGCCCTGAGTGGGTGGGAGATGCGCAGCCGCAGAGAAGCGCCTGCCATCCTGTTGCGTTTTAGTGGCGGCGGCTGTTCCTGTAGTTTGGTGTTGATGCCTGTGGGTTTTGTATGTGAAGAGCACGCTCTTCCAAAACAGTTTGTGTTGATGCCTGTGGGTTTTGTATGTGAACTAGTGTAATTAAATGGCACGCGAGTAAACCAGTAAACCGCAGTGTGGCCACCCTGGGGACGACATTCGTAACAGGTTGGCGATCAAGAGACGTCCAGAAATGGTTCTTGGAGGGTTGATGGAAGCTAGCAAGGTGGAGAGGGAGAATGGGGGGATCTTGGGGTTGCGATGCCTGTAGTCCCAGCATTTAGGAGGCTGAGTGAAGGTCGCCTGAGGCCGCCTGGCAACATAGCGAGATCTTGTACCCCAAAGGTGCTGGGCACCTTGAAAAAAGAAAGAAAACTAGTAAGGTAGCAGCTCGCAGTGAAGGTGCTGCTAGCAAGAGGTAACTTCCTAGGGAGGCTGGCGAAGATGAGTTCTGGATCCTCAGAAACTTTCTGCAGAGTAGGGTTTCATGCTCAAATTGGTGAATTCTATCTTTATTTAAGAAAAACAGGCTGCTCATTTGTGCTCCTTTAACCATCTCAAAGACCTGAATTCAGGAGGTCCACCTGCTGCATGACTTTGGATTAAAACACTTAACTTTTATCGGGCTGCCGCTCAGCAGAGTTTGGCAATATAGCAATAACTTGTTATGTGAGTTATGTGTTATAGTAAAGGTTAAAAAATAATATCCACGGAGCACTTACTATTGTGCCAGCCAAGCTTTATATTAATTGTTCAAACAAAACCCTGTGATGTAGGTGCTTTTTTTACCTGTTATTAT